CCTGGCTATTTTTTGGTTGCAGCCATCATTGTTGTTTGGCGGGCCCAGGCTGGATTCGAACCCATCACCTGAGGTGTATGTGGCTGGCGCCTTAGCCACTTGAGCCACAGGCGCTGAGCCTCATTAGATTTTCAAGTAAAATATATCTGCATTCAACAAATGAACAATTGAAATGGCAGAACTTATAAGACGTATAAGCAAGTATATGGATGAAGCAGAAATAGCCAGATTTCCTGGCTTCTACTGAAACTGTCCTTTAAAAAAGTTGTCTCTTGAATTTAATGGTACCCATTAAACCAGAAAATTTAAAATAATGTAACTCACGTGACTATTAGCTTGGGGCTGATTTCTATAACTTTTCATTATTTCTTGAAAAGTTCTTTCTTCTTTTGTTACCTGAGGAAAACAAAAACTACATTTATCAACTGCTTTTGCAAGAATAATAGGTCTGAACAAAAACTTCAATTATAGGTTGGCACTGAGAGCAGCCTTGCAGAGAGCCATTAACCCTAAGCCAATCCACGACTAAAAACCACTAACGTTTATGATTTTTACTACCTTTAAAGTTCAGGCTTTGTGGCCTATGGGGACTTAGTTAATAGTTTCCTTAATCAAAAAGCACTGAAATTGCTATGATGTGACTCTATTGAAAATTTATTTCTTCATAATTAAAATATATAAGAAAATTCAGATCTGTTGCATCCCCTGCAGTTTCCGGTTTTATTAAAGTACTTATTTAAAAGTATATTAACCACATACTGAAGGATAGAAAATGTCTTATGGTGATTCACAATAAAACCAAATGGTTATTACAGAATTAGGTTTTAACATTTCAAGACAGACTGACTGTAGAGTTTCTAATGCTTAGACAGAAGTGATAATGGTGGCCAAAAGGAAGAAAATGGATTAGGGATCCAAAAAGAAATTCCTCTGGTTCCTCTATTATCATAAATTTCATTTAAAAGAGGAAAGGGAGGGGAGGGGAGTGGGCATATGGGAGGAGGGAGGGTATTCGGGGGGAGGAGGGACCTCACCTAATGTGTATGATGCAATGATACATTTCAATACTATTAAGAAATGAGTATAATTGTGATGGATGAGTTACTTGGTTCAATGTAAGCATTTCATATTGTATATTGAAGCAATACCCTGAACCCCACAAATGCATCAGTGTACAAAGTTATGATTTAATAAAAAACAATTAAAAGAATTTTCATTTAAATTACAACTTTACCTTACTTCTACTCTACTGTCCATTAGCACTAAACCTGTCCTCTATTATGATGAGCTAGAAATGGCAAAGCCTAAACTCTTGACATTTTCTGAAAAACACAAATGATTAGTTAATAAAATGTATTAAGACTTCTTTCTTTTTTTTTTTGAGACAGAGCCTCAAGCTGTCCCCCTGGGTACGGTGCCATGGCTTCACTGCTCACAGCAACCTCCAACTCCTGGGCTCAAGCGAGTCTCCTGTCTCAGCCTCCCAAGTAGCTGGGACAACAGGCGCCTGCCACAACGCCCGGCTATTTTTTGGTTGCAGCCATTATTGTTGTTTAGCGGCCTGGGCTGGATTTGAACCCGCCACCTTAGGTGTATGTGGCTGGCGCCTTAGACACTTGAGCCACAGGCGCCGAGCTAAGACTTATTTCTTACAAAGAAAAATTTTAAGGAGGCATTGTGGGAGGAGGGTCACAAATGAGTTTGAAAATGTTCCTTGTTTCAAAAAGTTTAAAAGTCAGGTCTTTTTTTTTTTTTTTTTGAGACAATCTCACTATGTCACCCTTGGTAGAGTGCCGTGGTTTCACAGCTCACAGCAACCTCAAACTCTTGGGTTTAAGTGATTCTCTTGCCTCAGCCTCCCAAGTAGCTGGGACTACAGGTGCCCACCATAATGCCTGGCTATTTTTTTGTTGTATTTGTCATTGTTATTTAGCAGGCCTGGGCTGGGGGTTGAAACCTGTCAGCCTTGATGTATGTGACTGGCGCCTTAACCATTGAGCTGCAGGCAACAAGCCTAAAGGTCAGGTCTTTTTTTTTTTTTTTTTTTTTTGAGACGGAGCCTCAAGCTGTCCCCCTGGGTAGAGTGCCATGGCATCACACTCACAGCAACCTCCAACTCCTGGGCTCACGCGAGTCTCCTGTCTCAGCCTCCCAAGTAGCTGGGACAACAGGCACCTGCCACAACGCCTGGCCATTTTTTGGTTGCAGCCATTATTGTTGTTTAGTGGCCTGGGCTGGATTTGAACCCGCCACCTTAGGTGTATGTGGCTGGCGCCTTAGCCGCTTGAGCCATAGGCGCCAAGCCAAGGTCAGGCCTTAATTGTATATATCTTCTAGGACTGCCACTGTGGCCAATGTGGTCAAAATAAAAGTTATAAATTATTGTTTCAGACATATCAGCATTTTGAAAACCAAGCAAGAAATGTTATATTTTTTACTTAGAAAATGTTGTAGCAATTGGAAAGTAAAATGGTTTTCTAAAGTAGCACAGTAAATCATGGGAAAGCAATATGGTATAGAAACTTCTACTAGATTATGAGTTAGGAGATCCTTGATTGTCCCTTACTATGTAAACTTTGGCCAAGTTATTTTCAGCTCTGTGCCTGTTATTTATCTACATTGTAAAGATCACTTTACTTGAAAGAAGAAGTCAGAGGTGTCCTGGGGTAAAGATGGAAATGGTGTTGTTCATATTAAAAGCGTGAAAAGCCAATTTATTACAAATGGTCTCTAAGATCCTTTCTTTCTTTCTTTCTTTTTTTTTTTTTTAAACATTAGCTTTTATTTATTTATTTTGGCCGGGGCTGGGTTTGAACCTGCCACCTCTGGCATATGGGGCCAGCGCCCTACTCCTTTGAGCCACAGGTGCCGCCCTCTAAGATCCTTTGAACTCCTTTACAACCAATGTATTCTTTTTTTTTTTTTCTTGCAGCTCAGAAGTTTATTAATGAAGGGGGTTGGGGTAGCTGGTGTTTACATGCTTGACCCTTGCAGCCTTGTATCCTGGCTGTAGTGAGGAAGATGGCTGGTTTCTCTGCTGGCCACAAGTGATATCCTCCCAGGAACATGGTGAGCCCTCTCTCCTGAGTTCTTGTTGCCATGGCTGGAGTCTGGCACCATCAGACAGGTTCCGCTTCTGTTTCTTGTGCTTGATCTAGAGTATCGATATTTTTCAGGATCTCAACATAGTATGGGCCAAATACCTGCTCATTGTGATGCATCAGCTTGACAAACTTCTGGCCTAGCTCTGTCAACTCTCCTTCGATGTGATTAAGGCCTTCAGGGAAGTGTTGCTGAGACTCCTGCATGCCACGGACCAAACAGCATTTGAGAAACAAAAGGAGACGCTGATCAATGACACTACGAACACGGTTGTCTTTCTCAGTGATGTTCTGGAGTTGTCCTATAAGACATACTGTGTTTTCACTGCTTAGGGCAGCAAAGCCCAGGTCCTCGAGGCCACGATGAATTTCCTGAGACACCTGTTCACTCACATGCAGCATAGCTTCTTCAGGCTTGGAGTTAAATTCCTCAGTCACAGCCTTGGTTATGCCTTTCAGTTTATCCACAAATCCAGGTGAGTCGAATAAAATTTTACCAGAGAAACTTCTAGCCACTAGTAAGACTGAGGCCAATATAGCCAAGTGGCACAAATGGACCCGGTTTCTGTCCATCAGCAGAGTCTCAGGGAATTCTTCATTTTTAGGATCCCAGAGGAGGAGATTCAGGTAGCCCTGGTATAGCACCATTACAGGATTGGGAGGATCCGAATTCTCAGCTGTCTTGTTTGGAGATGAACAGGCTGTGCTGGAGGAGCTGGACGTGTCAGGAGGATTCGGACATGGTGTAATGAGGTCTGTGGCTGCTTGGGTTAGCCATTTCTTGGTGTAATCAAGGAGATTGGGTTGTTTGTCAAGGAGTT